ATATATATATATATATATATATATATATATATATATATATATATATATATATATATATCGAAGTAGGAAAAGAGTAAAGAAAAGAGAAATAGAAGAAAAGCAAGATGAGTGGACTGAAAAAGGACCAACAGTTGGTTGCGAGGAAATAGGAAACTTTTGCTTTACAACATCCATTACCTATCCTCACCTCTAACCTTGTTTTCTATTTTCTATAATATATATTTTTGGTACAATTAGACCACCAAACCAAGAAAATAATTGGCATGACCAAGCATTAGCCAAATAATTATTTTTTTCTAAACGAGAATTATAAGGACAAGAACGAAAGCAAGAACTAAACAGAAGTGGGAAGGAAAGAAGAAGGATCAGAAGAAGAATATAACAGTAGTGCAACTCCGATCCAAGAAGACGAAAAACAAAGAGCGGAAGAGAACGGAATCATATTGTTCTGAGAGGAAGATGAATCCATTCATGTTCTTCACAAACAAGAACAACTCACCTCGGCAGAACTTGTAGCTTTTGTATCCAGTTAATCACAGAGAGGGGGAGATGGAAAACTCTTTAGGAGAAGAGGAGATGGCGATGGAGAAAGAGGGAGCTGGTAGGTGGTGGCGGATGCCTTCCAGCCGCCGCTGGGAATCCGATCTCCTGTGGAACTAAAGCCAAAATGCTAGAGATTTTGTAGTATAAAGTTTCCTCGTTTAAATGGTTCTTACTTCCTAAGGCGGCCTCTCTGGAGAAAGCTGATCTCGTGGACCCCGCGAGTTCCAAGATATATAGCCGCAGATCAGCCATTGCTTGCAAGAGACAGCTTATAACGGGCGACTTCCCGGTTACGTCACCCGCCACGGGTCTCGGATCCAGTGGACCAGCAGATCCGCAATCCATTAATTGTACCTTTGTTGATCCCACAAGACGAATTGAATGCACACCTGATTGATTGGCTGAGTAAAGCTAGAGCAGTTCAGCTGTATTAAGGCTCATCGAGGAGTGTTTAGATTTTTCTGAAGACGACAGGTTAGTGTAAGAGATTACCCAGAATCCTTGGCTCACTTTGTGCTTTTGTGCTGATGTTTGAGTGTATCCGATATCTTCACAAACCTGATGAGAGATTCCAAGTTAAAGATGGTGGAAAAGAAAGGCAATAATAGATCCAAAGCAAAGTAGCTAAAGTGATTGCCCACCTATTTCATATGTTGCAGTAAGACGCAAAAATACCAGGCTTTTAGTTGCAGGTAGTTCCGCGAAATAAATGACAGGAGGGTTTTAAATGGTCAGACTAAATGCTTTAGATATCAAACTTGACAGGAAACAGAACCAGCTGCTATTGCCATGTCAAGTGTTTGATGCAACACTGTGTAAATAATCTAGCTAAACTGGATTAGCAACAGGTCACAAGTTGAATTTACTGTGTAAATTGATCCAGAAGTGGGTTTATAACTCAACTCGCCCATTCCGAGGAGGTAAGCAAAAAACTGTAGAAGATACTATGGGATTTATAACAAAACCTGTAAAAGGAAAAAAGCTTTAGAGATTGTACCTCGAGACATTCTGAACTCTGAAGTAAACCTACAAGACATATCTCATGGTGCTTAGGTGCTTATCGAAACATCGAAACTAAAATAATTATTTGCTACATCTAAATATCATTAAAAGGAAATAGTGGTGATGCAGTGACTTAAATGAAGTGAAACCTTGCAACAGCTTCAGCAACCATTTGATTATTTTGTCTTCAAGTCTCTACCTGATAGAATTAGATAATCTTATTCATCTATGTTAGTGAACTTTGGAGATTATACTTGGTGATCTCCCAAGTCCTTCAAAATCATTAGTGATTCAATCATGCATGGAAGACATGATCATCCAAAAATAGGGGGGAAGGAAAAAAAAAAAGGAGGAATTCCCATTTGCTATCTACATGCACCAAAATGGGCCAGTAAATGGGATTGAGTCTAACCTGATTTGATCCGAGATTCAATCTGATAGTAGCTGGTCTGATCGGTGTCAATTGGGGTTAAAAGGCCTCACATTTCAATTTCCTGTAGCCCAACTAGCAAGAAGAAATTAGTAGGTCACTCAATAATCAATCATCGAAAAATCAAAGTGATAATTCTTTTCAGTGGAAAACCCCAACTTATATTGAATTCAAATACATTTCTTTTACAGAAGAAATAATAGACCTTTGTAAGTGTATAATTGAATACAACAGCTGAATAAGTCTGTCTGATAGACCATGCAGAAAAATGATGGCTGGGAAGACCAAGAATCTATCTAGTGTACAAGCAAACTTGCGGATTTGTGATATATCATAAATATGCTTATACTCGACATTTGTTGATGAGATGTCATGAAGACTTTGTTAAGGTCAGCATTTCTGAAGCCCAGGGATCGCAAGGAAGAAGGCAACGCGCACAGTTTCCTTCTACAACCTGATGAACATGACAAGCTGAGGTCATATGTAGAGCATAATGAGCAGAAACTTAGTCATGCAAATTTTGTTATATCACAAAAGTTTATTCATTTGACTAAATGAAAAAAAACACAGAAAAGCAACGGTGTGAAAGTTTACTATTGTGCTCAATCAAGCAACAAATTTAATCCAAAAAATAAAATTGATGAACTATTTTTTATTTTGCAAGTTTGGCAAGTAATTTTGCATAATTAAACTCCTACATGAGATCATTAATTGCACAAATTTCATCGAAAACCACATATCTAAATTTTCTTGTTTCTTTAAACAGGTCACTAACCTAAGAATACTTCTAGATGATGAAATGAGAGAGACTGTTGCAACCTTAGAATATCTAACAAGTACGCATATACTGCATCTACGCATATACATCAGATTATGGCAATAGCTGGGAAAAAAAAGAATACAAACTTCATTTCATCCCTTTTGAGGATATGGTTCTCACCTTATCCAGTGTGATAGAACTAAAACTGATTCCTGTCCTGTCAAATTGCTATTGATGTGGAGTTAAAACTGCAAAATCAGCACAAAGAAATGATAGTTAGGAATAGAAACAATTGTAATATGCAGAGAAAGAAAATCCAAGAAACTAATACCCTGACTCCCTCAGGAACTGTTCCTATACAATCCACAAAACAGGCAATACATGTCACTAAACTTCAATACCAACTCAAAAACCTATATGACCCATAAGCAACAAAAAACCCAGTTCGAGTTGTATTCTCTAAAAATACACCAAATGTAGGCAAATAATAGACAGGCCCAAGCATGATTTAGACAAAAGTCACAAAATAACTACTGATCGGGGTGAAATAAAATGTCGACTCCAGACTAACAAAGCATTTTACACTAAAAGAAAAGGTATAATTTCTACAGCCACTGTTGAAAACATGGTAGGAATTAATTGGAAATATGATCCCTGCAAAGGGATGTCTGCATCATTTAGTAATGTAACTTGGTTGAGGCTCTAATCCGAAGTTTCAAATTAGAAACACCTGATTTCTCTGCTACCACCAGCAGCACTTGGAACATCTCTAGACAAATGTGGGAGTCAAAAGATGGGAAACAATTAATCATCAGACATTTGGATTTTACAGGCTCAACAAATTGAGTTTAGGCTGATGGAGTTCCTTTATTCGTACCCCACTGTTCCTCACCCTCATTCCCATTGACAAGGACAGAACTATCTGTAGAGTCAGCTAGATCAAGTTCAACATATTCCTCTTCAGCTTCTTCTACTCCATCTTCCTCCATCATCTGCAAAAATGTAATATTGAAAACAATGAGGTAGAAATGGGATGAGAAAACTAATAATAACAATAAAACTAGGAGAAGCAAACGATAAGATCCAAGAACATGTCAGTGAAAAAGGAGGTCATTTATCATTTTTCTCAAGAGCTTTTAATATCTCTAAAGTACTATACTGAAAGACTAGACCTAATCAAATAACCTTAATATGGTTGTATAGGATGATGGTTCAACCAACGAATGAAAAGTTTGCTTGAGGTTTCCATAACATCATAATTCAAGTTGAAAGTTTGAGAAGCTAGTCAAAGCAAAAGGTATAACTACACAATATACAACAAAAGCATAGGCTATTTATGACCTACATGACCTAATCATCATGTTAATCTGTTGTAGCAACAGGATTGTGACACTGGACAGAATGGTTGCGAATGTACTGTGCTAGAACGGTTTTGACACCCGCTATGCTGACCCAAGTCGGATGTGCTGACATGGTACCTGTACTGTATCTGAAAGGTATTGTCATGTGCTCTTATGTCACAAAATGGAAATCCTTGTTTGGAGAACAAAGCACTTAAAAGAAAATTATTTTCCCATTAAAACAATCATAATCTTGTCTTAATTCATAGCTTGTAACCATCCGCAGCTTTCTATGCCGCTGCTGTCGCCGCCCTCTCCTTCCCCACCTTCCACCACAGGCCGGTAACTCCATCTACCTAAGCTATTCAAATCTGTTATTAATCTATAGAACTGTTAATCCCTATTTTAATCCATATTTAGCACTGCTAATCCCTATTTAGAACTGTTATTAGGATTTAAGGAATAATGACAAGTGTATAAAGTATCCTAAAGATCCTATTGTGGTGACTTATATATCTTGTGAGAAGATGACTATAGGTGGCATTTTCCATGCAAAGCAATATTTAGTAGGGAACTTCAAGAATGCATTAGTATGCACCAAGATTTGTAATTTTGTATCATACCAAAGTATCTAGCTCAGTTGTATAAGTATATCGAACGGTATGTATAGCTCAATATATATACATATATATACATATATATACATACATATATATACATACATATACATACATATACATACATACATATACATACATATATATACATATACATACATACATATACATACACATACATACATATACATACACATACATACATATACATACATATATATACATATACATACATATATATACATATACATACATACATATACATATACATACATACATATACATATACATACATACATATACATATACATACATATATATATATATATATA